GTTCCACTAAGTTGGACCTGAGGACCACCTTGATGAGATCTCTGTATATCTTCCTCGTGTATTAATATGGTGATTAGAAGCAGCAGTTGAACAGGGAATCATGTGGAGATTTAAAAAAAAATAAAAATAATAATAATAATAATAATTTCAGTAGGTTATCCTTCAGTATGCAGCAACTGGACTTCTTCAGTTCCAAAGAGAGACATCTTCAAGAACCATAAATAGAAGTCCAGTTGCTTTCTCCTGAAGCTACGAGGATTACCATGTTACCAATAATGACCTCCTTTCCTTAAAATCTGTTCATCTCAGTGCTCACATCCTCCTCAACAGCATCCCCTCCTGTGGCTCAGGTGGTAGAGCGGTCCACTGATGGCAAGGTTGCCGGTTCGATCCCCGGTTCCCCCCACATGCCGAAGTGTCCTTGGGCAAGACACTGAACCCCCAATGGCAGATTAGCGCCTTGCATGGCAGCTCTGTCACTTTTACCATTTACCAAACAACTCATTTGTTTTTGTCTGGAAAGCTATCGCCATAGGAACTGACCTCTTATGTCACTGAAACGCATCTCAATTGCACCTCCACCTCAAGCACAGATTTTATGTAAAAGATGGATGCAGCTTCCAAATCTTAAAAGTGAAGCCAATGCATAAATGACTGAAACCTGCATTCTTTCAAATGACCAGCAGGGGGCGACTCCTGTGGCTGCAAAAAGAAGCCAATTTGTGCAGAAGTCTATGAGAAGTGATCCTGCTTCTCACTTGATTTGTCTCCTCAGGGAACATTTTTCTAATGAGTTTATGCTCTCAATCGCTAGTTTAAAGTCTCCTTCAATGCTGCATGATGCTCATTGAGTAAATTATGGTCCCATTTAGAGGTAATAGACAATAAAGCAGAGTAAGCTTTAGGCCGTTTGTGGCTACATTGAGTTTGACAAGCCACCACTGAATAGCTGTTAATTGTGTCAGATCCACCACTCTGGTTTGATTACAAAAGATCAAGATGGTGACAGCTGAATTTCAAACTTGAAACTTCAAAATGGTCGTCCACAAACCAATGGGTGACATCATGGTTGCTTTGTCCAACTTTTATACAGTCTATGATCATATTATGTCTGTTTTCAGCCTGAATGCAACCTTACATTAGTACAATGAGCATAATGAATGGGATAGATGATAGCTAACTGCAGCAATAAGGTGAAAAACATGAACCATTATAAAGTTTAAATGCATGTTAATGAGAGTGGCAGCTGTAATTAAGACAAAGTCACATTACAACAGAAGGGTTTGTCTACACAGTTTTTTTTTTTTTTTTTACAAATCTCCTGGTGGAGTTGCAGTAAATATCGTCATCATTTCTTTTTTCAACAAAAATGTTAGCAAGCGGATATTTCATCGAGCCAACAGGCAGCCGTTTTTGTCTGTCATCAATGTGGAGCCACTTTGAAAACATGGGCACCAAGTTTTTTTTAATCCATCTTTCAGTTCAAGCAGCATTGAAAAGTGACTGGCTGCACCCACAAAGGTGTGTATTGAATCCAACATGATGTTAAAACCAATGGAAAACCACTCGCTGCCCGAAAACACTGTGAAAGTAAATGGTATGTTGTGTAGAGTCGGTCTGTAAAAAGGTGGTTTGTTTGCTCTCTGCAACCAACCATGTAAATGTTGTGTTACAATAAATTGGATGCATCCCTGAGGAACCCTCTATCTGAGGAGTATGATCTTACAGTCAAACATGTACACTCAGAATGCACACTGAACACTGGAAAACTGGAAAAATAAAGAGAGTATGCAGAACATGCACTGTTTCAGGAGAATAGGCAGATATATTGTAATGTAATATACAGATGTGTCAGTATTCTCAGATAGGCACGTACCTCATCCATCACTTTATCCTCATCTCTGGCCTTGCTAGCTGTTGGGATGATGAATGGAGCTTGTGGATTGGAAAGTAGTGAGTTTCACCTGTGTGATACAAGCAGGCACGTTGTTACATGTGCTCATGCGTCTACATGTATGTACACGTGTGGCTTCCCTGATGTTTTGTGCAATAGGGGAGCTCATTAAAGCTGCAATAATCAGTACTTTTATATTACCAGTGGCTCATATGACGACTTGCATGTGAATGGCGTCTCTCACAGGGACAGTCAGCGCCCGACTCTGCAGTTGAGCTCGGCTCTGTTTGGGACATTTCACTCAGTCGTCAGTGAAAACCAAACAGTGGGCTTAAAGGAGAGTAAATATTGGACTTGGATTCACCAGGTGGTCACACTGATGGCTGCAGGTGAATGCTAATGTTGCTCCATGTCTGCTGGATGCACACATATAGTATCTGCTAGCATATTGTTCCACAACAACAACAGCTTCTTCAAGAGATACTGCAAATGCAAATGCTGTCTTGCTATAAAAGACTAAAAACTGATTTGGTTACTGCTCAGGCTACGTCCGCCCTAATGCTTTTTTATTTTAAAATAAAAACAATGTCCATCTAGACACGTGTTTTTACAGTTCAGAAATAACGACCTGCCTATACTAACCCGTTTGGAAATTTACTGAAGCGTAAACAGATGGAAAGTTGGTTGTTTAGTTGTAGAGCCACATGAAAGGGATGTGACGAATACGGGAAGGACCCATAACTACTTATAAGATCAGAACAGGAAGCGAAAGTGGGTGTGTGCGT